TTGCGTGGAAGGAGAGAGCTAAACAGGTCTCTCTCCAGGTAAACAATACAGCAACCATCCCCCCTTCCTTTGATACCTGTTCCTTTAAGTCTATTTCAACTGTATTTCCACTTCATCTATTTTTCTAGTTTTAAAATTGATTCTAAGAACTATTATTAACCACAAAGCTAACCCTAAAGGATGCCATTAAAATGTAATTTGCAATAGAGAGTATGCGGTTTCACTTAATCTACTCAAAGTAGTGAGAGCAAACATTCTCCTTCATATTGTTGAATACAGAAATTTAAAACAAAAAGTGACATGTGGCTTTCTGAAATGAAATATTAAGCACCTCCACATGAGAATTTATGCGGCTGATGGAGTCATGAGGTTTTGTTATGCAGCCCTCATGGGACAGCTAGAAAGTAGGCAACAGACCCATGAATCCATCAGCCCTTGGATATACTTCTTGGTGATGATTTTAGCATTTAAAATAAAATCCCAGTGGTGAATAGTTCAGGATCTCTTAAAGCAATTGAGATCCTGCCAATATCTGACAGACAATGATAAGTACTTTTGGAAAATCAGTTTTATGTTCTACAGCAAATCTCTGCTTCAACTAGGGAGTTCAACATTAAGCGATAATAAAAATATTCAATAATAATAGCTATAGGAGTGTATTGTGAGTTAGAGAGAGAATAAAGACATGGAACCAGATTCTGAAATCCGGAGTAATGCCCCGACCTCAATGGGTTTACACCAGTGTAGCTGAAAAAAAAAACAACTATATTATAATCCCTGCCCTACAGAGTTTACAATCTAAAACCCCAATCTTGTAAACAAATGCATGCAGCTACACATTTACTTGAGTATTTGCAGAATTGGGGCCTATGTGAATAAGTCACAGAGGTCGATTTGGTTGCTTGTGACTTGGATGCTAATCCTACAACTACTTACACATGCAGAATTGTATTTCCATTTCCCAGATACTCAACAGCAATAAGAGTATTGTGCATCTGTCATCTATGGCTTATAAGAAAACCATTTCATTTAATGTTTTGGGCTTTTTTAAAACATCTGACATCAATTCAAATATTAAATTTATTAAATTTCACTCCTCGTATTTTGAGTTCAAACTGGAATCTTTAAAAACAACATTCCAGAGCAGAGCAGTATGGGTAATGCTATGTACATTTCCATAAAGTGTAAGGCTAGCTAACTTTTCATAGCAAGATAGACTCAGTAACCTCTCTACTGAAGAGGAATTACTGACAGGTATTCAGACAACTCACTGGGCAACAACTATTAAAATGGCTCATGTGGGGAATGGGATAAAAAGAGTACTGTGTGTTCCATAAGCACATTTCATTTGGTAACAAACAGAGGACAATTGATAGATAATAGTAAAGGCTCAATTCCCTTCCAAATCCCAATTCTGCAAAACCTTCCTCACGTGAATAGCCCTGTTGACTTCACTGGGACTACTCAGTCACATAAGGATTCACAAGATCAGATCCTTAATTAGTATGTCAACAACATGATTAAATGGAATGAGTGGTTGTAAATGACTGTCTACTACAATTAAGAAGAAATGCATGTTTAACAGGACTTTTTCTGACCATTATATTTCATAAAACATCAAGATGTTTTATGGCAGTTTTCTACAGATTATTCCAGAACTAAAAATGATTTCCAACGTCAATAGATCCATCTTCCATGGCTTCAGCCATTTAGCTTCTATACTACAATATTTATAGCAAACATGTCAAAAGATGGACATTACCTTGGTTTGTTTTCCAAAACACAACCCCATGCATTTGTCCTGAAATACCAATGCGACTAACCCTTTGAAGGTGCTCCTGGGGAAAAGCCGCAAGGCATTCATTCAAGGCTTTTATTATTCTCTGGACATCTTGCTCCATTCCCTGCAACCATAAAATCAGTTATGAGGGTGCTGAGACAATCTACTAGATTCATGTACAGCATTTACTTAAGCAGTGATACAGTAGCTAGAAGTGAACACCATCTATTATTTAGCTTAACAATATACTATTACTATAGCTGAATTACTACTACATAGTCCAAAGTTTCAACACACACTAATTTAGATGATTTGTGGCTAAATAATATACGCTAGAAACTATAGTTTAATTACCCACACACAAATACATATGAATTATTCTATTAACATAAAACTTTGATTGTATAAACAAAGATGAGGTTTATCTGCTGTTATTATTATTACTTATTATTTGTATTACTGTAGTGCCTACCTTTACTACTACAAAAGTCAAGGCCTAGCATCATAACAAGTTCATTAAGAGCATAGAGATGTACCTTCCATCTTTCTGCCCTGGTTTTTGCTGGGTTGTATCAGTAGACACAGTGGACCAAAAGCCCCTTAAGATGAAAGGATCTTGTTGCTTCTTTCTAACACACCATGCCCTACTTAAGCAGCACTCTGATGAAGTTAATGATTGTATCCCGAAATAAAGTGTAAAATGGGTTAGGGCAGTTTGCCTCTGTTCCCGGTGAAGCAGCATCACATACAAGATCAAGGTGCGGGGAAAAATCTATTTTAAGTTTTTCTAAGGTTCTGATAAATATACATCTAAGTATCTGGGCTTTCTACTGTTTTCTAGATGCTCAGGCGAAGTACATAACTTGGGTTTGGGCTGTAAGTTCACTCGATCATGCTGGAGCCAAGTCCGCTACAGCAGCTAACTGTGGTGCCATTTCAGAAATTGCTCAGAGCTGTGTCTGTTTTGAAACGCCACAAATCACTAGAAAAAAAAAAAGTATTCATTGCCTATAGTAGAGAGACAAGGTGGGTGAGGTAATATATTTTATTAGGTTGGTCCAAAAAAAGATATATTACCTCACCCACCTTGTCTCACAAATATCCTGGGCCCAACACGGCTACAACACCACTGCACACTGATTACAGGACAGCCAGAAACACTAATCAGCACTAATTCTGGCTTCATTTGACTTAACCATTTAGGTACCTAACCACTGATTTTTTAAAAACTGACCTTTTAGAAACAGACTGTTTTACTCTTACTTGGCTTGGCTTTTTCCATACAACACAAGAGAAGTATTTTAAATTAGATTTCAGATATACAGACAGACACACATGCCACCACCACCGCCTGGTTTGCCTCCTTTCCCCCTAAAGAGCCAAGTGGTATCCTGCAAGTCATTAAAACAACGCTGATAAGTCATTGACGCTGACATAACATATGCATCCGAAGAAGTGGGTTGTAGCCCATGAAAGCTTATGCTCTAATAAATTTGTTAGTCTCTAAGGTGCCACAAGTACTCCTGTTCTTTTTGCGGATACAGACTAACACGGCTGCTACTCTGAAACCTGACATAACATAGTGGCACAAAGCTGTGTTGGTGAAACACAATGCCTCTGTCTTGAGCTACCTTGCAATGCTACTGCTTATGTCTCACCTGTGCTCCAGCAGCCAGGCTATCAGCCTGCGCCTGTGTCTCCCTTGAACAGCTCTGGGCCACAATTTGCCCTTGCTCTGTCTCTATTACCAAGGCAGCTTTAACGGAGGTGGTGCCCAGATCTATGCCCAACACACACACAGTTCCAGGTGTGGCACATGGACTCAGACCTATAGCTTGGTTATCAGCCATCATTTGTGTTGTCCTCCGGCGGCTGCCACTTCTTGCACCACTGGGTGTGTTCAGTTCGCCTGCTGCCCAAGTAAACACCCAATACACAGGCAGCAATAGGGGACCGGCGCAGAGACTCAGCCCTGCAGCCTGGCTCCCACTCTCCAGCCCTGCTCCTTGGGGTGGCTCTCGGTTACTCGTCTCTCCACCGGCAGGGTGGCTCTGCCCGAGGGGCGCCCAGGTCTCTGCCCTATGCACAGGCAGTGCCAGGGCACAGGTCCAACTGGCTCTGGGCTCCCATAGCGGGCAAGGGCTGGAGGGCCTGGGGCAGCAGCGCCAGACAGGCTTGGGCTAGGCCCTGGGCTGCGCTGACCCTTGAACTACGAACCTCGGAGCCACAGCAGGCGGGAGCAGCTGTCCGAGTAGATCCGGGGAGGAGCTGGAGCCTCCATCTTGAGTGTGGCAAAACGCCCGCCCGCGACCCACTTCTGACGCTTCTCGGGGCCCAATCCCCTCATAAAAAACATATCTAAAGCGTTTTAAAGGAGACTTTAATTAAACCAAAAAGGAATCCCCCCCGGGGCGTCGCTAGCCCCCCAAAGCACCAAAGGCCACACCCAAGATGGCGGCCTGGGGCAGCCATTGCGGCTCTACGGCACGCGAGAGGGAGGCCTGATATAGGCGGCTGCGGGTCACCTCACATGGGAGGAAGGAGCCGGTAGCCGGACGGAGTGGTTCAGCGGTAGGCGTTTCTCCTGTCCTCGGGGCGCATAGCGGAGTGGGGACCCCCCTCCGGAGGAGCGGCCCATGAGGACCACAAGTTCCGGCATGCACTGCGCCGCGTGGTCATGGGGGCTGAGGGGGCGCATTGGTGTGAGGGGACCATCCTGCGCCCCGGGGGTTCGAGCGGGGGGAGCCCCCAGTTCCTCTCTCTCCTCCCCCCCCGGCTGGGGCGCTGAGACACCCCTCCTGTGCCCCCTGCTGCCTCCATGTGCCTTGGCTGGGGGGGAGCAGAGCGCTGGGGTAGATGACGAGGTGTGAGGGGGGGGAGGTGTGGGGCGGTGAAAGGGAGGGCTCTAGGCTCAGGGGGCCCTGGGGTGGGGGGGGCTAGGTAGGGGGGTGGGGGAGGGCTTAGCGAAGGGAGGGCTCTAGGCTCAGGTACCCTGGCCCCTGGGGTGGGTGGGGGCCAGAAATGGTGATGCCAGGTGGGTACTGGGCATGGTGGTAAGTGGGAGCTTGGCAAGATAGGCTCACGGTGGCCCCAGCCCCAGGGATGGGTGGGGCCTAGGTGTGGAGGTGTAGGGGCAGTGCTGGACTGGCCATGGTGTGTGGGGAAGTGGGTTAACGATGGCCTTGGCAAGGTGATGGGTGAGATGAAGTGATGCAGGGCACAGTGGGAAAAAGAGTGGTAGATGGGGCTGTGCTGCTGAAATTATGCAGGAGCCTAAACAAAATTTCCTTTCATTTGCTTTGTAGCTGTCTGAAGAATAGCATGATGAAGAAAAGATGGCTACTTCTCTCTCTGTTGTGTTTTTCACTCTCCTTGCTAAAACTTTGTGGTAAGTGTCTTCCAAATTGGGAAGTTTACCTAGCTGTGCACCAGATCAGCAGTTGGTTATTTATTAGCTAAAATGGCTGTCAATTAAAAGGGTATCTGTGATGAAAACCAAATATTCTCCTGTTAAAGGTGACCTGTGTAAAATCGTGGTGTGTTTATAAGGGTATTGGCTTGATTTAACAGCTTCTAACAAGGAATTGTTCCAGCTGTCATTGTTGTGTTGGGAACTTTCTTCCCTTGTATACTACCTTCAGACTGTTTTGTGGTGACAAGTCAGCACAAAAAGTGTCTTGTTTCACTATTGATGTAAGTGACTAGGTTAGTAGGCTAGACTCTATAGGTTCAGTCCTCATTATATTGCAATCAGGATCACCAAATTCACCCTATCTATGCTAGCTATTTGGTTTATAGTTGCCAGACGTGTCTACAAGATAAGACAGCCAAACTCAGTCACTTGCAATTTTTAGAGATTTTTGTTAAAATTCTATATATTGCATTTAAAATACCATTTTCCCCCATCTCTCCTATTTAAGATAAGATGTCTTTATTCTTTGCTTTAATAAGCTTCCGATATTAGCAGGTATGTGTGGTGAGTTCCAGGTCAGGATTTAGACATATTTGTCAGAATTTGGGTAGGGGAGTGGAAAACTGTCTGAGAGGCTGAGCTATACTGTGACACTTGCTTGTATATGAAATGTAATCACACCCTAGTCAGTTAAATAAAGTGACTGACAAGCAAGAAAAGCATAATCTTATTTCTAGCTGCCTTATATGAATATACCCTGAAAATCAATAGATTGTTGCATTGTACACACTTCAATGGCAACAGTTTCAAGCACAATAGCAAGATGTTGACTGAGTACTGCAACGGCAGGTTAACGAGCTGAAGTTCTTGAATTTCTTGGTATTCTACTGGGCTCGTGTGGATCATGCAGCAATTTTCAGACAGGCTTTAAAGAGTTCTGATTCTTACAGATAATTAGGATCCATTGCTGATCATAGCAAGAAACAGTAACACTTAAATTAGCATTTTATAATTAGCTTAGAGTTTAAAGTATTTGTAACTAATTGCATGTGTATAATATATTTGTTCCAGGAGACAATTGTTTGGCCCATTTACTGTTTTCAGTCTGCACTTTTCTCATTAATGTCTCAATTATTCAGTCACTTGAAAAAGTGCTGATGCTTGCTTCCACACTGTTGCTAGTCGCGGCTGTCTGCCACTCTAACCTTCCTGCTAACCAACCCAATGAGCTTGTCTAACTGGTTTGTACTCTCAAATTGCTTTCTTCCGCCACACAGGAAAACAATTCATCTTTTCAGGAAGGAGATAATCCTTTTGTCGAAATTTAAGCTTCATGTTTTTCTTTTTCCAGATGGAGCCCTCATGCTATCTGTCCCTGAAGTGGTTTCATTAGAAAACGGTAGCTTGACAAATGTCACCGTGATTCTAAGGTAAGGTTAGAACATCAGTTTCTCTTCCTTTAATTCTCTGCTTTTGTTACAACCGGATACACCCACAGGCATCAGACCAGAACAGAGAATGGCAAGACTTGTTCAGATAACTAACTAGATTTGCAGGAAAGATGTTGGCTTTGTTCATTTAGGGCAGTGGTTTTAAACTTTTTTTTTTATTTGTGGGCTCCTAAAAATTTTTTAAAATGGAGGTGTGCACCCCCTTTGAAAATCTTAGACATAGTCTGCAGACCCCCAGGGGTCTGTGGACCAGAGGTTGAAAGCCACCGTTCTATGGTTATGACAACCTTTCATGGACCCCCTAGACATAGTCTGTGATACCCCACAACTGGAGGGTTGAAAACCACTGATTTCGGGTGAGTTTCATCTATGTGCAGTGGGTTAGTACAAGGCCACTGTTCCACTTAAGCTGTGGTACATAGCCTTCATACTAGCCCTCATGGGGGTGAAAATTCACCATTAGGTACAAGCTCAGACAACAGTCTGTATTTTTTTGTATCGATAAGTTTGGCTAGATGTAAGATCCAATATCATGTGTCTTCTGTTGGGGTATTGAATTCTGCATTGGCAGGGAGATGGACGCAGCCTCTTCCCGCTGTAATTACTGTGAGCCTAACAAAAACGTGCTTAATGTACAAATGTATCTAGAAGAACACTTAAATGTTTTATAAATTGAACAGAGGTCACTGTTCCCAGCACAGAAGTGTAGCCACTTCAGAGCTGAAACACATACTGTAGCTGTGGAGTAGATATTTACTCTAGTGCAGTGCTCATTTTCTCAGTCTCTCACTAATAGTGAGACTTTTCCCAGGAATGGAAAGTCCTTCTCAATGTGAGATGACATGGGGTGGGGGAGGGAGGAAGACTTCAGAGAAGACTGCAGTGGTGCGGATTGGTGGGATGCTTACGAAGTGGGAGGAGGAATAGGGAAATATCAGATTTTTTTTAAAGGTGTTTATCCATCTTTCAAACCCCTGTTAGAATTGACTAGTGGCGGCACAAAGGGAGACATACAAGTTCTATCCAGTTCAGATTGGTTTGTCAGTGAAGGACAGTATCTGTTTCTAGAGTATCATGTTGGTGCCATAAGTGATTATTAAATGTAAATTGTATGTGGTCCATCCAAAACAATATTGCCTGAGCTGCATGGAATCAGAATTCTCCCAGAAGGCCTGAAACCTCCTTTAACACATGGATTTGTAGGCTTCATTTGACTTATCTATCTTCACAGTGCCCCATTAAATGAGACATTGGTGATAACATTTAATGTTACATATTCGTCAAAAAATGGAACCATTGTTGAACTACCTGATCAAGTGAGTAACAAAACTGACTTCAGACCTTATGCTAAAGCTTGCACTTGGTGTAGTCTGACCTCATTAAAATAGTTATTACATGTAACCTTTCTTCCTTGTCTGACAGGTAATATTGCCTACAGGTCTAAATAATTCTAGCTTTCAAGTGAAAGCTAAAGATGTTGGACAAGTTACAGTTTATCTTCATGCCAGTAATTCCAACCAAACTGGGTGAGTTTAAACTACAGTTCAACCCCGGTCATGTGCAACTCCTTGGTATCCAAAGTAGTATAATCGTTTCTACTCTTCCCTCCTCTCCCCTCTCCCCCCCCCTCCCCCCAAATATGCCATCTCACAATATCTTACTAATTACACTGCAAGTTCCCTTGATTAACAAACAGTCTGTGTCTCTTCCCCCACCCCCCACAATGATGTTGAGATAAGTAAAGTGGTACTGGTAGCTTCTGTATCTTGTATGTATCTTGGAATCATTAAACCTAAAATCCTAGGCATTCATAGGTCAGGTTCAACAGCATACTCTAAATCCCACACAAGAAAAGTCTGAGCATGCATGACAACACTACTCAAGCTGGATACCATTTGGCCCTAAACTCCGTGGGCTACTGCTTTGTTGCTATCCCTATCTTGCTAACACGCTTCCAAGTCTGAGAATCCTATCCTTGAATGCTAACAGCCTGACTCTCCTCTGCACACCCACAGCTTTCACAAGACTTCAGTGCAAGCCACAAGTACTTAGCACATCCACAAACCTTCCTGCTTAAAGAGTCTCTTAAGGAATCATGTGTTCACAGGTGGAACTCTCTTCCTTGATATCAGAACAAACTGGTGAGATGGGGACTGCTGAGTTGCATTTGCTTGTTGCCGTTAATACCACAGCTCTGCAGGATAATGCATGGTCTTATCACTTCCTCATTTCACTTCTGCTTTTAACTGTCTTGATCATGGCTATTGCTACCCACATCACAACATATCCAGGAACACAAGACAAGCCAGATCATAAGGCTTTGCTTGCCGAGCATGAAGAGTAAAACCTGGCTGTTGCACAACAGTAACATACTAAGAGGAGTGGAAGCAATAGAGGAAGATGAGAGGCTTCAGAAGGCCTGTATAAGGGAGGGGAAAATATAACCGAATGGAGGAGGATTGAGGGTAGGCAAGACATCACTAGGATTTGTAGAAATCTTGGGAAGACCACAAGGGTGTGTGAAAAAGGGGAAAGCTTTATTGCTCTACTAAAACCCAACCCTAAATTTTGAGTAACTGCCTTGAGTTTTCTGCCCCACAAATTAGAATGAAGGAGTATGATCTATGGGAAGTGCAGAGAATGGCTGTTTAAAAACTGATTTTAATACAAATTCCTTTGCAGTCCCCGGATTCGATTCCAAGTGATTCATAGTAACATAGTGAGGATTATAGACCAGGTGACTGGCTGGATCTATTTCTTTGCCTGGTCGATCTCCTTCTACCCTCAGGTTTTTGAAAACTGGCGACGAAAAAGGTAAGGAGACTAGCTATGAAATGTGCCTGAATCTTGACCATTTGTAACATTAATATGTGGACTGGTTTCTGAGTAGGATGGGGAATGATCAGAGATCCCCTTAATGTAGTTAATTCCCATTAAGGAAGAAAACCAAACCCCATTATTATAAGAGTCCATTAATCTCAGTAATATAGCAGTTGAATTGATTAGAAATATAAAGTTTCTTGTTGCAAGCTCAAGTACCTTTTCTAGAAAGCTACTTTCCTAACAACTGTCCGAGTCAGAACCCCAAGGCGCTGACCCTGCAATTGGTTTTGCCCAAATGGACCCCTGCCAAGTATCATTGAAGTCCAATGGGCAGCATTCACATGTGGAGCTCTGATTGCAGGATCAAGACCTAAGTCACTAAAGATTTAAAAATACCAAAAAAACAACTCCTCTCCCTGCTGGAGAAGTGATTCTCCTCATCCCCCTTCTTTCTCCCCTTGAGCACAATAATGGATTCTACAGATCTTAAATTCGCCATCAGAGGGAGCCCATGTAGCCTCATGAGGATACTGGCAACTTTGTAGCAAAAAAATGTGAGTAACAGAGTTCAAAGAAAAATGCACTCACTAATACATATGCCTCCATGAGCAGACTCATCTCTATGGAAATTAGATCATGTTTATTATGTATGTGTAGGAGGGTAATTTCCCCTAATCACCACTCTGCCTAAGTCCACAACTTCTCACCTGTTAAAATGAATGGTTATTCATGATTAAGGCTGCAAGTTTGTCACGGAAGTCACATATTCTGTGACTTTCCATGACTTCTGCAGCAGCTGGTGCACCTGGCTCAGGGGCAGTTCAGGCAGCCCCGTCGCCAGGCGTATTGGCCACTGCTAGGCCAGTCTCAGGCCCCAGCAGCAGCAGAGTTTGGGTGTGGCAGGGGATTGGGGCATGGGATGGGGTGAGGTGGGCTCAGGGCGGCACTTACCTGGGGGGCTCCCTGGAAGTGGTGACATCCCCCTCACTTGCTGCTAGGCAGAGGCATGGCCAGGCAGCTCTGTGAGCCAATGGGAGCTGCAGGGGCAGTGCCCTGGGCAAAGGCAGTGCACAGAGCTGCCTGGCCACACCTCCGCCTAGCAGTTGAGCAAGGGGGATATCGCTGCTTCCGGGGAGCCCCCAGGTAAGTGCCGCCAGGAGCCCGCCTCACCCCATCCTGTGCCCCTACCCCCTCCCACACCCAAACGCTGCTGCTGGGGGAGGCGGGAGAGAGTATGGAGCCAGGAAGGGAGCCAACCCCAGTGGGGGACCCAGGCCACATGCTGCCCCCAAGTTTTAGTCACGGTATTTTTAATAGTCATGGACAGGTCCTGGGCTGTGAATTTTTGTTTACATCCCATGACCGGTCCATTACTTTTACTAAAAATACCAGTGACTAAAACTTAGTCTTATTCATGATCTATACTGTGGCAGCTAGAGACTGCAGCCCCATTCTACTAGGCACTGTAGAAATAGGTAAAACATACAGCCTACTCCAGGGCAGGGAGTGGGTTTTTTGCATGTTCGACACCTAGAGTAATAGTTTCCTAAATGCCTAATTGACTTAGGAACCAAAGACCTATTTTCAAGTCACTCAAGTGCTTTTGTAAAATGTACCCCAATCTCAATCGCCATGTGAATAAGTAACTGGAAAGATGGGACTGTGTTTAAAATAGATCAACACACTCACACATACTGCAGTGGTGATATGGTTGTCCCTCCCCTTCTGGGTTGGAGGGAGGCCTCACCACATCATCAGGATCACTGCCTAGTATCGGGGGAATTAGCAGACCAGGTGTTAGCGTCCTGACTGGTCTAATGGGGCAGAACCCCAAAGAGTCTACAGACTCCCAGGCCTGCAGGCAGGGGAAGGGCTAACGAGCCATCTATGGGCTCAGGCCTGCACGCAAGGGCAGGGCTAACCTGTTGTTCTAGCTTTGGCAGACAGTAGGCTAACACCTGCCACCTGGTCTACATTGGTTAGGTTGCCCCCAGGGGTGGGATGGCAGGGGGTAGGGAGACCCAGGCCCACCCAACTCCACTGGGTCCCAGCCCAGGGCCCTGACAATTGCAGAGTGATCCATTGGTGGGGAATCCAGCTGCAACACGCTGACCATGTTTCAGGCAGCACTACAGCAGACTAGAGCCAGCTGCCCCTTGGCCACTTCCTCCCCTTCCCTTCCCTCCCCTCGGTGTACCTAGATCAAAGGAGTGTCCTCTGTCTCCCCAGGTAGGTGGCCAGTAGCAGTCCCGGCAGCTCCCCTGCAGACACAAGTTCCTTCGTAAGCAGGGTGTGTCTTATCTCCCTCACTGTTTCAGATCCAACTGAGCTGGGGCTCTGCCTTTTATACTTCCTGTCCCATCTATCCACTTCCAGTGGGAAGGACAAGGTGGGTCTGGCGCCGCCCACCTGGGCAGAGAGGGTGGTCACACGCACACGCACACGCACACACACACACACACAAAAAACTGTGTGTGTGACTACATGTGAATTTCAGCCCTGGTGAACTTTCAATAGCACATAAATTGGAGGGAGAATGGAACTTTTTAAGTACATCCTCCAGTGCCCTAACACTAAACCATGATGTAATATGGATGGTTGACAAGATTTTTGTTGTTGTTGTTTCTCCCCCCCCTCCCCCCTTGTTGTACAAGACACTTCGTATTTGTAACCAATTCATTTTAGAATCCATGCCTTTAACAATGACGAGTTATCTTGCCTCTGACTTGAGGCTCTTTATCTCAGTGAGTGAACAAATGATTGTTTATAAAAGTTTAAAACTCTTACCTGGAATGTGAGGACCGAACAGTGGGCAGTAGGAATGGACTCCTTCTGATGTAATGCTTCTGGTTGTAGATCTAATCTAATTCATTGCAGTTGTATGGAGTTGAGGCAGACAACATAGCAAGATGAATTTTGAAAGTAAACTTTATTGTAAACGCTATCAAAATATATAGTATGTGTGAGGGGCAACCCTCACTGCGTACAAATGACTTTTTATAAAGCAGTATGGCCACCGTTTCTTCTTGGAACAGTAAATGTAGAAAGCCCTTAAATCAGAACCTTCTAGTGTCAGAAAGTCAGTCCCTTTATGGCACTGACCATACTGCTCTGCAGAGGAATCTTTCCATGTAAAGTGGTTTTTTTTGGTTCTTTTTCTTTCTTTTAGTGTTGTTGGACTAAGCTTTGACTACGTAGCATTAAACCTCACTGGTTTCATAGCATACAGTGTATTTAATGTAGGACTTTTCTGGATAGCCTACGTCAAGGTAAGTGCACTTGTCATTCTTTCAATGAAATATTTCATTACTTGTAGAACAGAGTTATGGTAGCTGACTTTCTTGGGATTTTAATACTCAGGAGCAGTTCCTACGCCAGTATCCTAATGGAGTGAACCCTGTGGACAGCAATGATGTTTTCTTCAGTCTCCATGCAGTAGCTTTAACTCTCTTTATAATATTTCAGTGCTGTATATATGAGGTAGGTTTACCTATGATACTCTTATATTCCAAATGAAGCCAAAACAGTTGATTATGTTTAAGCTTTGAGGCTAAATATTAATAGAATATCTAGCAATTATAGGGTTCTTCATTTTCACAGCACTCTACAAACATTAATTCTCAACATCCTTCTCAGATAGGCGAATACTATTGCCATTACAGGGAAAATGGGGGCACAATTTCTATTACTCTTACAAAGCCATGCGGACTGGCAGAATCAGGTTTAGATTTGGGAGGTGTTCTGGGGTTCCACTTCTGTGCTCAGTTCACTGCCGTCACGATTACAAAATGTGTGTGGATGGTGTTCACTTACAGGCAGTAAACATGCTAGGTGGAAAAAAATATTCATACCTCTTCTGGGTTAACAAGTTGTGAAAGAGGGGTGTGTGTATATGCGCTCCTTGCCCCCTCTGCCAGAATAGGATGGTTTCAAGAAAAGTCAGGGTGTGTGGTAAGAGTGACTTCGGAAGCTTCTCTGTGCCCTAATCACTGATGATCTCACAAATGCTATTATGAGCATAAAGCCCCACAAATTGTCTTAATTTAGAGTTGAGTAATAGAACAAGTCCCACAAAAACATTGCAGAAAGATTTTTGACCCCTTCCTCCTGGATGCCAACATTCTGAACAAGATTCCCATGGGAATTGGACTTGGCAATTGTGATTTATCATAAACCTATAGCAAGCTGTTATCCCCACATTGTTTTAGTATCATACTTGAGGAGGAGGGGTCAATCTAGCCAGTTCTGCAATGGGCTTTGGTTGTATATTATGCTCAGCATTGTGCATCCTATGGTAACGGGTGGGAGGGAGCTGGGTATAATGAATTCTAAATGTATATAATGTCTTGTTTTTCAGAGAGCTAGTCAAAAAGTGTCCAGAGTTGCTATTGGGCTGCTTGTGATTGCATGGATCTTCACATTTACCACCCTGTCTGTGGCTGCAGCTGGAGAAATCACATGGCTACAGTTCTTATTTTTCTTTTCTTACATTAAACTGGGAATCACACTGATAAAATACTTTCCACAGGTAAAAATGGGCACTAATGTCTCCTAACTCAAGTGGGTAGCAAGATGCCATGTGCTAATATAGGCAGCTACCGGGAAGAGCACTGCAGGTTCTTTAATATGTGGTAAATGATTCTAGAATGCTGACTAAGCTAGTTTAGAATTGTGATATGTTTTGATCACTTGATGGCTTTTGTGCTGGCTAAGCATGCAAGTAACTTTTTTTTGCAATGTCTGAAAACTGCAGTCTGTTAAATCAGCGAGGCTCTCTTACAGCTGGGGTTGACTGAGGCATTGAAAGGTCAATCTGCTTATCTGATGTCAAAGTAAGTGGAGAATTCTCTATTGATGGGGTAGAATAAAAAGTTTTGTCTTGTCTGACTGCTTGATCTGCAAAAATATTTGATTTTTTTACCTATAAAAGGCAAAGTATGCAGCATATTTAAATTCACTTTGATCTGATTCCCTGCTATGCCTCTCTTGTAGGCATACATGAATTTTCGGCGGAAGAGTACTGAAGGATGGAGCATTGGAAATGTGTTACTAGATTTTACTGGTGGAAGCTTCAGCCTCCTTCAGATGTTTTTGCAGTCTTACAACAATGGTAAGCATGGAATTGAAGTGTCTTTTAGGGCCTACATTTTCCACTAAAGGAAAAACCTGCCACAAAGCACTTTCTACCAGTCCAGACCCACTTAAGGTCATTCTCAAACCTAGGTGTCCTGCATGGCAGCACGTGCAGCCATCAGTGCTATAAAAATGTGGCAAAGGATAAGTGTTTAGTTGTCGTCTTATGTAAGCGATTTACACTGTTGTTCTTTGTAACTATACAGCAGCACAGAGTACCTTTATTGCATTAACCCGCACAATATAGTGAAATCAAATTATGATGAATAACCTGTGCTGTTAAAAATAAACCATTTTAGTGACAAACTTTAATGATTTATCTTCTACCCATAACTATGGAATAACTATTATCCTTAAGTCCAGGGATGGCCAAGACCAGCTTAAGTCTATTAAATCGGTTAATGTGAGTGACAATGCAGCTTTTCAGACTACCTTATTTATTTTTTGACAGATGAATGGAAATTAATCTTTGGAGATCCAACTAAGTTTGGACTGGGCCTCTTCTCCATCATCTTTGACATAGTCTTTATCATCCAGCATTACTGTCTATATAGAACACGGGGATATGAGTCTTTGGACTAGGGCCCCACCCTGAATAGACACAACAGTACGGATTTATTAGCCTTATCTCTCTACTGGCTGAGGGATTTCCAGACTACTCACCAGGTACCAGCGTGACTAGTTCGAGAGTCATGCTGTTGTTTAGAATTCCTCTTCGGTAGGGGACTACAGTGAACTTTTTTTTGCTTAATGCCAAATGCCTTAATGGATATTCCATTATCCTACTCCTTGCAGCTGGAAAAGATTGGCAACCCTGGAAGCTAATTCTGGGCCAGCCTGTCTTGAGCTGGCCTGGTAATATGTGGCTATCTTTGACCAATACAGCATTCTGGGGGGGGCAAGGAAAGACCTGGGCTTCCTTCAGCTGAACACAATTGGAGAGTGAAAAATCCAACCAGATAACTTTTTAAAGTAGTGACCAAGAAACAGGTTTTTGTGGAGTGGACAGTAGAACTTAACTGTGCTGCTGCCTTCATCATCTTCTCCCAAACCAAGTTGTAAGTGGAAAGCAGTGGCTCAAGAAGAGACTACTTGGTAACAACAGATACTTACTGTTACATGTAGGTACAATGAGTTAATGAAGTCACTAACCAAAAAGCATGAAGACCAGACCAGCACTAATCAGACTTAATATCACAGCACGTTCCTATGACAGTGTCAAGAGCTATACTTAAACACTTAAAAAAATGACTTTTAATGTGATCTCTGCGTGTGTATACCACCAAGCACTTTCAGTAAAGGTACTAAATCTAGTGCCAAATTTCTGAATATTTACTGCACTAAGTTAAGTTATTCACATTTGGTTCCATTAAAGTGCCTAGTCTGTGCTGTTGAACAATTTATATTATATTTAAGTCTGATATTGTTGTTCAATTGCCTAATGATTAAAACTTGTATTAGTTAAGTGTTTCCTCCCTTTTCCTGAGTAATCTAGGCAGTAGCTGATAAGCACTTACATGGCACCTTCCAGGTAAAGATCTCAAAGCCTCAAGATTCCCTCTGCAAGGTAGGCATTATACCCATTTTATATAGGTGGCTTGAGGGAAATAAGGTCTTTAAGTAACAAGGCCTTAACATAAGAAAATGCAGGAAGGTGGTGAATTGGGAATAAAACTTAAGTATTGACTCTTGCTCAGGTGCTCTGAATTGCTTTCTCTGCAGCATCCATGCAAAGAATGTAAGATATTTAATCTCCAACCATGGTTGAACATTCTTGCACTTTAAACTGTACAGCTTGGCACTACGCCGTCTCTTATCTTTGGGAGTAAGGAATAGAGTATAGTAAAAGGGACTTTTAAACACAAGATTTAGAATCACTAATGTTCAAGGTCTGATTACTTAGTCCTGCAACCCTCCTGCTAGAGGGGAAAATCAACTTGTTCTTCTGCACTGAAAAGTTTAAGATGGTAAAATTGCAGAAGAGAATGTACTCCTCCCCCAGAGATGCTCCAAGTTGTAAATGGGTGCAGAATTTGCTGACTGTCACTTCACTGTTAGCTGTTTAGCATATCTTATCTTCACTGTAATATGGCTGTCTAAAAGTTGTCAGGCAGCACTCAACCTGTCCTAAATCAGAAGAATTGGAGGGTTAGAAAGCTTGCACAAAAAGGGTATAAACAATACATACATTGTCCTCTTAATCGAGACAGTTTGTTAAATTCATTCTTTTTATTGTGTAAAATCAAGAGACCACAGTACAAATAGCAGTGTACCTTTCTACAGTAAACAAAAATAAGGCCTATCTGTAAAGCTATTAAGATATTTCCTAACACAGGATTTGTAATTTAAATGTCCAAAATTCCTTTTGGATTTTTTTGTATTACTGAATAAGATAAAAAACGGTATAAAAAGAGGCATCTACTGGTATGTAAAGATACGGAGTGGAACATTCTTTGAGATGCATTTATCAAGTTTATAAAATTCATTGACGTCAGAACCTAAATAGCACTGCAGTAATAAGTTAGTCTACAACCTCTTCAGTGTTCTATTTACAATTTTTTTTTTTAAACTAGTCTGAAGACAGTTGAAGTAAAGAGGTCATATACAGTGTCATTAAAACTAGTTCTGGAAGATGAAACAATTTTTTGGCTAATTGTAATTAAAGCTAGCCTGTATAATGCCTTAAAGTGTTAATGTGGTTCACTGAAGGGTATGAAACCCTTTAAGGATTTGTAGGAATTTTTTCTGCAAAAGCTCCTACAACTCCATAGTTTGGCCTTTGTGAAGGATTTCTGTAGTGTAAGTTTGCCTACCACAGGTGCAGGGATAGGAATTTTGGTACAATAGATGTTTGCAAGCTCATTTGCACATTTCTACTTAATACAAGATTTAAATAAGTCTCCCCTTACAAAACAGACCAGCTGCCCCTTCTATTTGAAGATTCTCTCTGCTAAATGTGGAGTGAGGAAGTGGAACTTTGTAACTGTCTCCTTTTTATGTTCAGCAATGACAAACGTTTCCATCTCTTTCCCACTTACAGTATTTTTTTTTTTTTTTAAAACAAGCCCTAGAGTTGCAATAGTTATAGCATGTTAAAGCTGGCCTTGTTCCCAAGTATTTTATGAAGCAATCATCACTTCATTTTGTATAGAAGTACTTTGCAACTGTAATGTCTTGGAATTTGTTACTAAATCCCACACAGCTTCCATTATAATCTGTTTATGCACTGACTGCTAGTTCAAACTTGTGTCCCTTTTATGATGAGCTGCTTGGTGAAGCAGACTAAAATCTTGCAGTGAACTATCCCTCAAGCACTGCAAAATAGTCTGCTTAATGTTTGCTAGCACATGATACTAAGTAGTGTAGATGTCATTACTCAGCATTGGACCTTCTACAAACTTTTACTTAAATGTGGCATCTTAAAAACCTGAGCCTGAACTAGCAAGGGATAATCTAACCCTTAACATTAGATTTTGAAAACTTAGAGTAAAAACACTACCTCCTCTCCCCACTGTTAATCATTCACTCCTTTCCAGAAGCCACTAACAGAGCTTTAAATGCTAAGCAATGGCGAACTCTTGCACTATAGGAGAATCATCTCCCACTAAGTTAATTGCATTTTTCCACAGTTTCTTCCCTAAGAAAAGTATTTTAGTGTTTTGCATCTTGTTCTTTATAGAACTGCTAACTTCTTCCTCTGTCACTGTTACAGCTTTGTGTACATAGTAGGGTAAGGTGCTGTTTTATGCAGCATATGCTACTGGAAGCCTTTCTGAAAGAGAAACTGGTGCTGAAGTATCTAGAATTTACTATTCTTGGTTTAGAGTAAAAATGGTGCATGTTTTACCTTATTGGGCAGCTCTAGTATTTGCTTCCTTAGAACAAGGGAGTGTCACTCTATAGATCCCTCCTTCTGTCCCCCTCCCCCAAGCCTATTGCATAATTAGGACATCATGGACTGCTGAACAGCCTTCTGCAGGGAGTGTCTGGTCACCAGGAGCCGTACCACTTCTTCATTCCTCTTTGTCAGTCTCTTCCTTGCTTGGTCATGAGTTACCATTGTCATGTCCCACCCATTCACCTACAACAGAAGTTTTATCAGGAAACAATATTATTGTCAATGGAGCTAGCCTGGGAAAGGTGACTAGCAAGCTGGGGCCTGTCTATCACACTGTCTTGGCACTACTGGGTTAAGTGAAGACAGGGTGAACTTTAAGATTCAAAAGTTTGTTTTGAGAAGTATCAGACAATTTAAGAGCTGCTAGTACAACAACCATACCTGCAGGAGTCCGGGTGCTGCCTGGAATGAGGAAGTGTATGAGAAGAGACTTAGCTTAGAGAAAGTTTGACCATGCACTGAAGGACATGAAAATGTGGAGAAGGCATATAGAGAAAATTGAGTGGAAGCACAGACTGTTCTGACAGACTTACTGAACAGCACCCACTATCTCAGGGACACTTCCGTTACCCAAGGAAAAAACTGTTCACATACATTTCTGCTGTGTCTCAGGTGAGTTCCCTCCTTGCAGAACTAAGGGAAGGTCTGGCGTGGGTTTCTCTTCTGCTCTTGCTGAAGCTGGTACACTTTAATTAAAGAACTACATAGTAAGTGGGCCATAGCTAGCATTAGGACTGCTATATAGCCCAGTGGTTTGAGTTCTCCCCCAGGCTGTAGGAGAGTTGGATTCAATTCCCCCTCTGCCTGCTCACTGGAGTATAGGCTATGCGGGGGGGGGGGGGGGGGGAAGCTGCCTTAGTCTTACCTCTTGGAGCTGTTCTACTTTACTTAAGTAGTGTTTAGACTGGGCCAGGCCAGGAGTTAGAATCACTCCCTAGTCCAGTGGTTGGATTCTGGTTCAAATCCTGGTTGTGCCTGTTAAAGAAAGGATTTGCAGGGGGATCCTTGGCCTTCCAGGGCACACCTCAGCAAGGAGGGAGCTCTCTGTTTGAATCCCCTGGCTTTCTTTGGAGGACTCTTCCCCTTTGAGAAGGGGAGGGTATTTGAACAGGGACATCCCTCCCCAAAGTTGCCAGGGAGGTAGAAGGCCCTAGTCCAAATCCATTCACAGAGCAAGGGATGTGGTCTGGGGTCTCTTGGCCCATGGGTGAATAACCTAGCAACTGGGGATGAAGGAGTGGTTTGAGTTTTATGCAGATCAATTTTAATTTAAAAATAGAACTTTAGGTGGCAAAGCTCCCCAGGCAGAGGCAAGACTTGAACCAGGGCACCTACCCTAACCCCCGCACCACAGAGGACTCTTTGCTAGTTTGTCTTGCTTTAGCCCAATTAATATTTGAAGTGGAATAGCTTCAAGAAAAAGGACTTAAGAGACTCCACATGAGGCTCATTCCTAGCTCAGGACTTGAGGCCTGGTCTCCACCAGCCCAGCATAGTACCTAACACTACACTACAGAGGGCTCCTTATAGCACATCTTTGTTTTGGCCTAATTAACATCAAATTAAAGTAGAACAGCTTCAAGAGGCCAAACAGAGCAACCCTCATAGCAAGATAGCTCATCTTTTAGGGCAGTTACTTGCATGGCAGGGAGATGGCTATTCAAATCCCCTCTCAGGAGACAAAGTGAGACTTGAACCAGACTCTTCCCACACCCTGGGTGAGTTTATACTCCAGTGGGTGGGTTAAGTGATTCTTATGGTCTCTGTGACCCAATTATCATTTAATTAAAAGTGGAAGAGCTT